GGTCGTAAAGGGACGAGTGTAATGGGTCATACAATGTTTTGGGTGCAGGGCTGAATGGAATCAACAGTCCTTGTCTTGAGTACACAACTACGCTTCAGTACAATTGATGCTTCGTTATAGAGCAGAGTAATATAAATGTTTAAAGCCCAGTAAACTGCCAACGCTTTACGAGGAGCTTATAAGTATTTTTGGTCAGCTTTTGTGAGCCCCCTGGAAGCACAAATGAATGACCTATCGCGCTGTTTAAAACTGGTACTTATTTCAATGAAGATATGAGTAAAGATGGTTAAATGAACGTTTGAATGAGTAGGTTTTAAGACTACGGTAGATTGTTAGTGGAACGATTAACGTTCACAAATTACCTTTTAAGAAGATAAAATGACAGTCGGACAACATGCTTGCTGATAAAAATTAGGGATGAACGAAGTCTAGTATTGATGATCGCCGAGTACATAAAGTTGTTTATGAGTGTTGCTAGGTGAAGGAGCGGGAGCAAGCTAAGCCCGAAGTTTATGAGCTCATTTTTGAGGTCAGTTTCGGCAGTTTGTCTTTCAATTGAATTTGCATCATCGGTGGCTGTATCTCAAGCGCGGTTGTGGGGCATCTCGTGGACACCGGGCACAAGATCGAACCGGAGAAAGCTTTCGATATTGTTCATCGCATCCCGCTCAATCGATCGAGGGCGGTCCGAGTTTGGACACTAGCCATGGCCGAGGCGATCGCCATTCGCCCACTAGGCCCTAACCTGTGTGCCCAAAAACGACTGGTGCAGGCGCTCCAATTGCCTTGGCCGGGCGTGAAAACCAAGACAGAACATGACGTGTCACTTGACCTAAGTGGGCAAAGGTCACATTAATTAACACGCTAAAGATTCCTACACGCACACGCATACACTTCCATTACTCTCTGTCTCCGATTAGTGACCTTAAATTGAGCCAATGGCTATGGCTATGTAAGCATTTTTTCCACTATATGATATGTAAGAGCATGACTAGGAATCACCGAAAACAGTTGTTCGCTCACCGACTCGTTTTCTCAATGCTATCATGGGAATATTCAAGCTTTCAAAATAATAGGTCCGTTAGATTGCTGTGCCTATTACTAATTAGGAATAAAACTGTCTTGGGTTGGTGGAGCTAGACATCATAAACTACGAGTGCTATTATTTCACAAGGCGATGCAGGGATGAGGAACGCAATTTATTAGGAACAACTTTAATAATATCAGTGAATTGGCATACAAACAACAAAATATCTCATTTAGAACAGGCCTTCAGAGTTCCCCACATGCACACAGGATAATCAATAGAACAGTCCGATGATGGATTCGCACTTCTCATAGTTATCATTTTGTGAACACAGTAATGCGCTCTAGGAGGGAGGTCTTACAACTTTTTGGCCGTTGAGAGAAAGAGCCAATCATGTTCTTTTACGCAATCCAAACATACTACTCACAAGATTAGGATTGATTTCATCTGGCGACCGGATGTGAGATCCACAATTATCACAAAGTTGCTTGTTCAGCCAGTGGATTATCGAAATTTATCCAGATTTGCGGTATGTGGATGTGGACCCCAGCAATCAGGGTGTTAAAAGATGCGACAGATTGATCAATGATGCAGTAAGAATGGGTGACAGGTTGTTGCCATCGGTATTGTAGATAAAATTACAGAAAATAGAAGGTAATTTCTGTTACCTAGTGAATCATTTAAGGTTTTATCTTGCCATTCGAGTAAAATGTTCAGGCATTTTTTTCATGTTCTCAGAGCATTATGAAGTAACTTAATAAGCTTGCCTTGCAATGTTACAAGTATGAAAGGGATTGCATTTGTTTCAAACCAATCAGTGTTCTTGGATGGAACCCCCGTCTGAGTGAAATTTATTCCCTGGACTATTGAGGGCCTAGACTGAATCCACTTATGCCAGTATTCACTTCTGAGAATGATTATCGATTTATCGATCCATCTTGATTTGATTCGCTTCCTTACCCGGTCGACTGAGGTCAATTGGTGCCGGATTCGTTCATTCTCGTCTCAGGCTCACTCGGTCGACGGTGTGATTGCTTGCGGAACCGCCTGCACGATTGTTTGATGCATCACCGGAGGAAGGATCATGCCATAGTGATTGGTTGATGTCAACTGTCACTCTAATCTACGAAGATGTAAATAAAGATGAGTACGCAAACCACAGGCCCTTCACTTTGACTTCGTTGGTATTGAAAACCATGGAGCGAATCATACGGGATATAATAGTCAGACATTTGGACGCAACCAAGATTTTGGCCGCACATCAGCAGGGCTTCATGAGAAGACGCTCGTGTCTCATCAACCTGTTGTGTTTCCTTGACGAGTTAACGCATAGGATTGACCGGGGAGACCGGGTGGAAGTCTGCTACCTAGACTTTCAAAAGGCCTTTGACTCGGTAAACCACAGGTTGATGGTGCGGAAGCTTCGACGGCTTGGGCTGACTTCAAAGGTGGAACGATGGATATACAGTTGCCTAAATGGCCGGAGCTTCCGGGTGAAGATAGAAGGGGAAGTATCCCACAAAGGGGAGTTTCGTAGTGGGGTCACACAGGGGTCGGTGCAGGGTTCGCTACTGTTCCTACGGTACATCAGTGATTTAATGGAGGGCTTGGAGAACCCATATCTCCTCTACGCTAATGACGTAAAGGTGATAGGCTCTGAAACTATAGAGAGTGATCTCAGCAAGGTCTACGAATGGTCTGTGCAATGGGACTTGCCGTTAAATATAGGTAAATGCCAGAGACTCATCGTTCAGCTGGAAGAAGGGCAGGGTAGACGTCTCGACGCACCAGGCACTGGGGGTGAACTGGATGTAGTGAGGGAGGCCAAGGACCTTGGTATTAAGATCCAGGCTGAATACGGTCAAACCTTACTCCACCGATACTCTATTTGAAATTTCGCTAGGTAACTCACTCGAAAAATACTTTTGTTTGTCTATAGGGTAATCTTTCCACCCCGGTTCAGTCGAGGACGCGTGAGGACTGAAGAATAAACCAATTTGTTGGCTTCCCAGTCGAATGTAATCGGTAGGATTCACTTGTAGTTATAACGACTTCACCTGAAGTTATGACAGATTCGTTTTAGGTTGCAACGAGCCAGCTGGAAGGTAAATAGGCATAATGAGTGAGGGAGTTGGATAATTTTCTTTTTGAACTCTGTCAATGTGTTCCGTTTGATCGGCAAAGAAATTTGAAGTGCATTATCACCAACAATCACCACTGCAGAGCCAATTGACATACCCTCAGGCGACTATGCTCGTATTTGGCGAGTTCATTGAAAAACACTTGAACTTCATTGTTACATAATTATGTATTTGAGTGCCACATTGATGAGTGTGCACGCGAGGGTGAGAATGGCACTATGAAATGAGAGTGAGGCTGGACGGGCACGATTGCACAGATCGCCCTGACAACATCGAGCTTTAAAATTGGAACGACACAACGTCTCGGATTTGCGATTGCATAATCGGTCGGAAAACGTCGAACTTTTCAGATATATCTGCAACAGGAAGCAGACAACAAATATTTGTGTGTGTGCATGTGGATTAGATTGAGGGTGGTATTAAAAATCGCGTATGTTCAAGTGTCGGTGAGTATTATCAACAAGGTGGAGGTTATCCGAGTATCAGGAAGATTCGTTATCCAGTATTCCGCGTTCATCATTGTTTCAAGTAGAAGTACCTGTGGAAACGAATGGGCGGTGGCGCCGATAAACTGGAGACGGTCAAGTCTAGTCTCACGCACGGCTTGGGCAGACACAGAAATAAGCACAGTGAGTGCTGATGCAGTTTATTTCCACGTAAACCGTGGTTGACTGGGTTACCTGACGCCATCTTACGAACAATTTCAAACGTGGCGTTGCAGCATTCTAATACACTCAAACCAAAACAGAAGTGTGCAGTTATAAACAGAAAAACAGAACAATAGTAAGAGGTTAATAAATAATCGTCCAGTTTTGGTAATGTCATTTGTCATTTATAATCAAACTACTTAAATATTTATAGTAGTCAAATTGCAAATGCTGAAACATTCGAATTCTCATCTGGAGAAATTACAGTAACTATGCCCAATCACCGGGCAAACACAACACGAATCCAAAATCTTGATCTATCTATCCTAAAAGGACAATATATATGTATATAGAAGACCTGTCAGCATCGTTTTCTTCGATGGCAGTACACATAATAGATAATGCCCCCTTGAGTTGAGGGACGAATCCGTCAGACAGTGAAATCTGCAGTGCACATACGATCCACCCACTGCTTGGTGAATATGCTAACCAGTAGTCATGATCGATGATGATGGTTGTGGGGTGACCGGGTTGAACAACCCATCGAACAATGAATGTCTTTACTGGCTTCCGCGTTGGCCATTGGAATGGCTTCCGGCCATTGGATGAAACGATCAATGCAGATGCGCAGATGAGTTACACGTTGGGTAGTTGTTTCTGTCTGACCCAGTCTTGTCAGCAATGCGAACCGATCGATCCAACTGAGGATCTAGGTAGGGA